AAAGACGACTTTCCTGCCTTCCAAGATGGCGAGGGTTTTCTTTGCTAATTCTCACAGTGAGAGGGAAAGTCAAACTGGTTCGGCAGCCGTCTGTCCTTCCCGTCATCTTTGCAGATACGGAGAAAGACGGCAGCGAGAGGCCAGTGTGACAGGTCTCTGTACACCAGCAAAACACAGGCAAAGGCTCCGGAATCTCAAATAATTAGATTCCCCTTAATTGTCAGAACAAAGAGATGGGCAGTTTCGACTGCACAGCACTCCTTGCAAGGGTGCACCCAGATCAGCAGCGGTGTGGAGAAAGCACAAAAGCGGGTTTTAAGTGTGGAATCCAGCAGCTTATGAATTCGGGGCACGGGGCGCATGCTTTAAATCAAGCTCCTAGCCCTCAGGACTTCAAATGCTTGATACTGGGTGAGCCAATGAAGTCACAGCAACCCAAGGAGCTGCCTTCCCAAGAGCAGAAATACCAGGATGAGGGAGGGAGAGAAAAAAGTAACACACCCTGATGTGTAACAGTCATTGATACAATTGCAGAATTTGAAGAGGCGAAATAGCGGAATGGGACCGGCTTCCCGTATTCCCAATGTCCCGAGGGCAAGGGACTGCCTCCATCAGCATCTGCCCGGCCCATCCAGACAGAATTCTCCGATTCTCCTTTCCCGCTTACAACATCATGCAAACTGGCAGGCGAAGCCGCCCCTCTCCAGAAGAGGATCCACAAAAACCTCGGACAGGAATCCTGGAAGGAGCCAGCCCCTCGACTCGCAGCACGAACTGCATTCTCCCCTCACGTGCCCCAACCTCGTGAGCGCAAAAGCTTCCACTCCCCTTTGAGAAGCGGGCAGAGGCGTCCCGAGGTATTTCTTTTGCCAGAAGTCAACAACAACTCCTCCAAAAGCCGAGAAAGCAACCCTGACATTTGTGGTTCTGAGCGCCAAATGCCCCTGCGGAGGACGGCCGGGCACCTCGGAGGCTGGGAAGCAGGGATCCGGTTTCCGAGCGACTGAGACCACGACCCTGAAAGTGGGCCGAGAAACCCAAAGCGTTTTGCCCCGTTTTTGAGAAAGGCTGCAGTGGGGGAGAGAAACCGTCTGATCTGACCGCAAACGAATGTAACCTCCTCTCTCTCGGATTCTGTCCTCAGCGAACCCTCTCAGCAAAGGGATCTGCTGTATGGGGACAACAGCTGAAAGGCAAATTATCACGCCATGACTGAGGACGGCTGTGAGAAAGGCGGTGGACCAGGGAGTCGGAAGAGGGAAATGCCAGCTTCTCCCATCGCTGGGGGAACTTGCACGGGAGGAAGCAAAGGGGAAATCAGTCGGGGCTGGCTCTGGGGGTTTGCGTGCAGAGAGTCCCCGCAGCACCCTGCCCGGTGGCCATCTCTGCCTTTCCTCCCAGCCAGCGGCCTCCTTATCTTGCATCTGGGGGTCAAAATCGTAGTCCTCACTATGTCTGGGCAGCACTATGTCTCCAACCTGCAGGTCAGGGTCCATCAGACTGAATATTTATGCAGATACAATATAACAACACTGAATACAATCCCCTCCATATGGAAAGCAAGCGTGTCAGGGCCTTGCCCAGCCTTCTCCCGACAGGCTAGATTTCTGAATGTGGTGATGTTTTTTAAAATGGAGGAAAATGCCATCCAATGACCACCCGCCTGCAGTCTAGTTGTAACTCCAGAGGTAGCTTGCCCAGGACAGAGAAGGCCACCCAAAGCCCAGGAAAACACACTGGGGAAGGAACAGGGAGCTTGGAAAGAGGCTGCTGCCCTGAACTGAATGTGCTATTAAAAGGAGCCCGTACTTTGCTGCCTTTCCTTCTCTGGTGCCGAGCGAGAAACTTGGCACTCTAAAATGGGCCCTTCTTTTGCTCCATTGTCCGACCGACGGGCCAGGCCAACGCTGCTTTGCGCGTGTTCTCGTCCGCTTGGCTGCCAAGTCCGCCCTCTGGGCCATCTTTGTTCAAGCCGCTGGTCTAGCACAGAGCAAAAGCTGGTGGAAAGGGCGGGCGAGTGTCCCCCCTGAAGCCCATCCATTCAGGTGGGAACCTCAACTGGAAAACCCAGTCGCACTGGCGCTGAGCAGCCCAGCCCAAGTGCCCCTGGAGGTCCAAGACAAGCTGGGCCAGCTCGAGGCATGTCCGGCATCGGATAATCCGAGGAAACATTTGTGGCCATCCTGGAGCCATGGACAAGCTTCCCGCTGGGAAGGAAGGGCGAACTTCACACGCGCTCCTGGCTTCCCAAAGAGAGGCAGAGAAGCCACACCCAAGCTCAACCCATGACCAGCGACCACAATCCAGGGAGGGCAGAGGCCGGAGTGCCGCTCCAAAACCAGCAAGCTCCGGCCCAACCTGAACGGAGAAGGCAACACCCTGTTTTCGGAGAGGGATCCATCTTCTCCCGGGATGCTGCCCCAAAGAGCCTGCAATCAAGCACAGGCTCGCCTCGGAGGGGCCACGGACAGGTCTGAAGCGCATGCACCAGAAAGACCTCACGGCACAGAATTCAAGGCTGGGCGCTGCAGGGCGTTTCTGCCAAAATGCTTGCAGAAATGAGCCTCATGTGAAGGAAACCAGGGGGCACGGAGCTGCCCCAGAAACCACGTGCACCTCCCTCGAGGAAGCAACCGCCGAACGTGTGAAACCCACCCACCGCAGGATCCCCCCCCCCCCGGCAGTTCTTGATGGGGCATCCCAGAGCATGGCTCCCCAGATCCTGCTTCTTGGAGAGGGGAGAAAACCTCCCCCTGCCCCCATACCCTCCCAAAGAAGACACCCCACCTCTGCAAGGGGCCCCACCAATTCTCAACGGCCGACATTATTCGGGCCCGGAGTGCCCCATAGATACACCGCTGCAGAACCCAGGAGATGGCCAGCCCACATGTCTCTGTATGGGCCCAGAGAAGGGCTCTCCCCAGCCAGGAGCTCGGCCCCACCCCACCCTTCCCCCAAGAGTCACGCCAGCCCCCGCACAAGCAGCCCAGATCCAGGGCGGCAGGCCAGGTGCAACTCCCGCTTACTCCTGCAGCCAGGGCGGTGCCGAGTTCCAAGTGGGCATAACGTTTTAAAGGGGCACTTTGCACACGCTCAGAGTATCCTATTCAGCAGGCCTAGCCTGCACCCCGAGACATCAGGAACGTAGGAGAAATCGTAATGCAGCTATAAAGGGGGCAGAGGAGGTGGGAGGAATCCTAGTGCTGGATTTCACAACCATCCAAAGACCTCCCCCCCATAAGGCCATGAAGCCCAAAGGCTAAACATGCTTAGCGGTCGCATTCATACATGCTTCCCTCTCGACTGCGCCGAGTCCAGACTTCAGACTGAAAGACCCCTCCCTGGGGGGCTTCTGTGCCTCCCCACAGGCCTCTCCGCCCCCCTTTCCGGATTCTGCACCCCCGGGCAGGAGAGCCTTCCCGCCACCCACCCCCGCGCAACCCGGGGGCAGAGGCCAGCAAGGCGCCCCTCCCGAGCGTCCCCCTCGGAGCCCCCCGGCGAGCCCAGCGCGCCCCTCGCTCGCCCCCCGCGCCCCCCCCCGCCGCAGCCGGGAGCGCGCCAGCGACAAGGGCCGCTTCGCATTAGTCAGTCTTTCCAACCAGCACATTCCAGAGGCTGCTGGAGGGGGGCCAGATGGGGGAGGGAGGGGGAGGGCAGGGGGGAGGGCGCTGCCCCGCCCAGAGGCCCGCCCGGAGCGCGGCGGCCGCGGCCTCCTCCCCGCTGCCCCGGGCGGGCCAGTTGCTCAAGGGGGGCGCGGGCGAGGCGGGGGTCCGGGGCGGGGGGGCGCGCCGTGCGCCCCGTGCCTGCGCCCGCCTGCCCAAGGGCCAGGCAGGCGGCCGGCCTTTCCTGGAAGGCGGTCCGGAGTCGCTCCGGAAGAAGCGCCTCGGTTAACGCACGGCATAGGGACCGGATAAATGAAAACTGAATCAACCGCCCGGGAACGCGCTGGGAAAGGTCTGGGGGGCTAGAGGTGGGCCAGGGGTCGGGCCCCTCCGTCCCGCGAGGCTGCGAAGCAGTTCTGCTCCCGAACTCCAGAACAAACCGATGGGACACGATTGGGCGACACTCCCAAGTTTTAAAGAAACACACGCGTCGAAAGCAGGAGGGGCAGAGAGGCGCAGCAGGTCCACACTCCCGTTTCTGGACACGCTCGGTCTCCCGTCCGTGTGAGAGAAGTAACTCCAGAGAGGAGTCACTCCGGATTAAGCCAACGCCTTGCAGGCATCCCCCAAAGCCTCCTCGGCACAACGCGCGGCCACGTGCTTCCCCAACACACCCATCCGCGGCTCCAGAGCCACCCGCCCCCGCCGATGCCCCGTGCGCCCGCGCCCCCGCCGCTTGGCCCCGGGGTCCGGCGGCGCCCTCGAAGGGCAGGCGGATGCCTCAGTACCGAGGCACCGGGGGCGGCCTGCCCCCCGCTCCGAAAGCAGTCCCTCTGTCCACGCTGGGGGGGGGGGCGTTAGTCACACCCTGCAATTAACAATCCTGGGAGAGTTCACAGTCAAAGGAACCGAGCAAAGGCGCCGCTTTTACTTAGCGTTCCCCACACTCCAAAAAGGGGCGCGCCCGCACCTCAAGCTGCCCCATTTCCTCGCCCGCCCCCAGCCTTGGCACCTCCAACGCGGTGCGCCCGACGCCGAGCAGAGCCCGCCCAGCCACCCCCCCGCGGCAAACTTTCCACCAACTCGGCAGAGAAAGCTGCGCGCTCCCGGAGAGGCTCCGGACGCGGCCGCCTCGTGCGCCAAGGGCGGTGCCCGGAGGTGCCCGGGAGGGGGCACGGCGAGCGGAAGGGGCGCCCTCCAAGGCACGGCGAAGTGGGGGGGCGCGGGGGCGATCTTAGTCCGCGCCGCAGAAGCGTGCGCCACGCCGCGCGCCTTCCCGAGCGCAGAAGCGCCCCCAAACGCGCCCAGGCGCCGGCGAGGGGCCCGCGACGGCCGCTGCGCCCTCCCGCGGCGCCAGGCGCGCAGCCCCCCGCCCGCCTTCCCGGCCGTCGGTGGTACCTGCGGGTCGGGCCCCTCAGCTGCCCGGCACTGCCATGCCGGGCGCCGTCGCGGGGCTGCCGGCGAGCGCGAGCGAGGGCCCGATCCGGTCCCGGGGTCCTGGAGGCGGCGGCCGAGCCCTGGCGGACAGGCTCCGGTGGCGTCGTCGCTGCAGCAGGAGCGCGCGCGGAGTGGGCAGCTCCCGCCCAGGGCCGGGCTCTTGTAACGCGGGATGGGTGTGCCTTTCCCTCGCTCTCCCCTTCCCGGAGCCCGCGAGGGGAGGGACCAGGCGAAGGAGCCGCCGCACCGCGCAGCGCGCCCTCCAGCCGCCGCCGCCGCCTGCGCGCCCGGACGCAGCGCGCGCGGCCCCCCGCCGGCCCCCGAGCACAGGGCCCCCGGCCCCCCGAGCGTGGCAGCCATCTGCTGCAGTCTGTCCCTCGGAACAGAGGTGCGCGGATGGACTGCACTGGTGCCTGGAGGCTCCACTGAGCTCACTGGATCTACTTGGGAGGCTGTTGCGTTGCCCGAAATCCGGGGCGCTCCGGGCAGTTTGTGGCCCTGAAAACCACGCGGGGCAACCCGAGAAAAGGCAGCCTACAAGCTGGAAACAATGGGATGCAATCCAAGCAGCTACCCAAATGAAACCCAGCAGGAATTTGGCGATTTAAAATGCGCAGAGGGCGCTGATGGTCGAGTCAGCAAAAGTCCAACAACGGCCAGTCACGGAGGCCCCCCCTCCTCGCTGCCTAACGGTGTGCAGGGCCGCATCCTGTCGCACCTGCATGGGCCAGAGACTGCGCACAGTCCAAGGACAGGGGGCATCCATCGGTGGGCACAGCGGCTGTGATGCAGCCAGGCCCCCCGAGCGTCGTGGCCCCGTGGGAGGGATGCCTCCCCAGCTGCCCGCGGGCATCCCTGCAGCTGCCACGCACACGCAGCCCTCCACTTCCGCAATCCGCCCCAGCAAAGCCCTGAGCGCTTGTGTGCCAGCTCCTGCAGGTGCCTCTCCGGCCAGGAGCTCCACTGACGAAATGCAGAGCCCAGCCAGGAAGGCACCTCCGTGACTTCCCCTCCCAGTCCCCCAGGGTTCCCGAGCCGAGGCTCCCATCGCTTGGTGAGAGGGCACGATCCTGCCGCAGAGCGGCAGCACGTTGTGGAAGGAAGCACAGATGCACGGGGGGGGCGGGGGGCGGTGCTGGGAGGCCACGAATTTCCTCTTGGCTGCCCATGCATGGATGCAACCTTGCACCTCACTTCTGCGCTCCCAGCACACTTCCTTTCTCCCCGAGCACCTGTTGTGCGTACCAGCTATAAATACCCACAGGGTGCAACTTGTTTGTGGGTTATAAATATCGCAACAACCTCTCCAGTTTAACGCTGGAATTCCCTTGGCTGTAGATCAGGTGCGACAACCAAAGCACACCCTTGCTTAGAAAGACGTGTCCCTTTTATACACACAGGAAAGCGCTTTGTATCAGTTCTCCCACTCAGACAGCATCCAAGAACCCACAAGAACCCAGCCTTAAATGTGGTTTGGCGTCGAACCACAGGTTGTATTGAAACATGGGCTGTCCCGTTGTTTGAACCCAGCCGCAACAACAAACCGTGGTTGGCTGGCCATGCACAACCCACATGGCACCCCCTAACAGGAGAATCCTTGAGCTCTCTCGGTGGTTAATAGGTTGTGGTTTGCTAGTGTGGCTGGCTGCAGACAACACATCGCAACAACAACCTGCAGTTCGGCAAGAACCCACACTTAGCCCGGACTTGGGCCCAGAGTTTGGGTTATTCTGTTGGCTGAGAGAGAGAGCCACCCGGGTTCTTAAGCATGTGATCCACCATGGAATCCCTCCCCAAGACACAGCGGCTGCTGGGTGGCGGAGTCGCCTCCTTTCCGCTCTGTGAGTTTGCCTGTCGGTGCTTTTTGCTTAGCGATATTACAGAAACACCAGCGCAAAGACGCAGAACTGTGGCACGGGGTGCAAGAACGCTCCTCCAGATTTCCAAAACAAACCCTAAGACAGCCCTCCAGGGGTCTCCTGCAGCCACGCCCCTTCCCCTGGTGGGGTTCGATGATGACTGCAGCTTCCTGGCTGTTGTGCATTTTTCAGATCAACTTCTTTTAAGACTCGGTTATCGACAGGAAGAGCTTTAAGTTAAAATATGCTGGCGTTTTTGGTTTTTTGGCCGTGCCCGACACTGCAATGTGGCCCCCGAGAATGGGATTTGCCCCTCGGCTGAAAGAGCTTCTGTTCCCCCTGTGATGCGGGGCCCGTTATGTCACCATTTCTGGTCAGGGAGTGCCATGGCATGGCGCAATTTTTCCCAACCTATGCTTGCCTGGGAAATGATGGGCATTGTAGTCCCATACATATGGAGAGTTCCAGCTTGGGAACAGATGGCACGGCTCGGCATACCAAGAATGCCAGTTTGATTCCTTGTTGTTGCGTTAGAATCGCCAAGCGAAAAGCTGCTTCTGAGATGCTAGAGAACGGCTGAGAGATGGACGCACTGAGAATCAGAGTGAGGGTGTTTGAGTAGGACTCGGGAGAGCCGGCCTCGAGTCCCCAGTGAAGATCCCTGGGTGGCCTTGGGCCAGGAACTCACCCTTCTTAGCCTCACCTACCTCGCAGGGTGGTTGTGAGGATAAACAGGGCGAGAAAACGGGGGCTGTTGGAAGACTCCTAGCCTGACCTGGGAGAAGGCCCCCTCCTGTGCTCCTGTTTAATTATGAGCTGCATTCGCTGGTTTTGCTGAGCCTTGCAGTGCTCCAGGTTAATACCTGATACCTCAACAGACAAAGAGGCCGGTCGGGGCAGACCAGCCGTTTTCGGTCGCAGCAGTAAGCAACCAAATAACTTTGACAAATTGTCCAGGCCTCTGAAACTCTCACCTGCGCTCCGGGGAGTTCCCGTTGGCTCTTTCTTCGTCACTACAACATCTGTCTTCCTCAGCGGGCTTGCCCTTAAAAAGCAAGAATTCATGGAGTGGGGAGTTCCATCCGCTCGTTGTGCCTGGATCATGTCCGCTTTCTTTGATGCTTCCTGCAAGGAACCTGGCTGGGCAAGAAATGCGCACGACGGGCCGAGATTAGAGAGGCAGGAGTCGCCCCCCCTGACTCCCTCCCTCCCTCCCTCCCTCCCTCCAAGCACCGATCACGCTGCTTTCTCAGGGGGCCTGGGAAGCCCAAGCGACGCCGCACAACTTCGAGTCTCTAATTTCCGCTGGAACCTCGCTCTGTAGCCATAACGGAGCGGCAGATTAAAGCCTGGGCCTCTGCTGGGTGGGAACCTCAGAAGAGACATCACTGCACACCGAGCGCGAGGTGAGCGGATTGTGGCCGAAGGAGGGGGGGATTCGTGGATCCCTTCCTGTGGGCATGTGCCCACGAACCGAAGGTGGCAGAGCTCCATGCGCACCCTCCTTTCTCAGGCCGGTGCTGGGGACCCGGATGAACTGGTTTGGAAGGCGAGAAAGACGCAGCAGCAGTGGCAGAAGCCAGAAAGACATCATCAAGCTGGACTTAAGCTCACTCACAGAACTCACTGCGCCAAGATGACTGGTGATGAGGACTAGTGACTTGGGCTTTAAAAAAGAAAGGCAAATTAAGAAGAGGAGCCATATGAGTTGCTATGAGCCCTTGTACTTACGTTAAGCCTCCATCTGCAGGAACAGTCTATCTGCATACAAAGGACAGGGAAAGGCTATTTGCTTTTGTGCCCCATTCATATGCTTCCTGAAGGCACCTGGGTTGTGACTGTTGAAAACAGGGTGCCGGACTAGCCGGCCTGGAGTGTTGGCCCCTCCAAGGCCCTGGTTTTCAGGGGGACGCTGCCTTTGCAGGGGGGACGCTTCCGCTGCATTCAGTCTGGCCTCGCTGCGCCGCCATCGGCCCCACTCCGTGGAAGTGGCTTCCTTTTGCCCGGGGTGTCAAACCGCAGGGTTCGGGTAAGCGGAGAGCGCCTGCCCCACTGATTTGCCTGTGGTCTTGCCCCCTGGAATGCACCCCCAAGAGCTTCTCGGAAAACAAACCGTGTGCTGCAGAGAGAATTGCTTTTCTTTTGTCTGTGCTGCAGCTGCCTTGCCTTTTTTATTTTTATTTTATTTTTATTTAAAACTTTTCTCGACTGTCCCATTACTGAACTCTCGTGACAGTTCGACAATACAAAACGTAAAATCTCCTAAAACGGCGTCCTGAAGATGTGACTAATAATAAAACCCCAATTAAAATGGCCAGGTCTTGAAACACTGGGGAAATAAATCCCATTCCATTCCAGATCCTGCATTTTAGGGCTAGGAAACAGGCAGCAAACCGCTCTCTCCACCCTCTCCTTCCCGTGGGCAATTTCCCGTTTCGTTACCCTTTTTCTGGACTCAAGACCTGCCAAAGCACCAGGCCTTCCCTTGAAAGGCATGAAGCGCCACTTGGATGGAGCGCGGCTATATATTTTCCCCCGCTGCGAAGGGGAAAGGGGGCGAGCCGAAGGGTACCTTGCGCTTGACGCAGCTCGGTGGGTGCTGGGCACAATCCATTGCTGTCGTTTGCAAAGCACGGCCAGGCCCCGGAACAGAGGCACCATAAAGCAAGCTTGTGCTTCTAATTGCAACCTGGCCGTCAGCGTAATTAGCCAGCATCATCAGCGAAGCCCCTTGAAGTCTGCAAGACGACGGGGAAGGTTTGGGAGCAAATGCAGGACGTTCTGCACCCTGAAGGAGTCGCTTAATATCGGAGCAAACACGCCGTTTGAAATCCGCTTTCCGGAAGACACAGCCAGATCAAGAAGGGGCTGGGTTAGGTGGGCAGGGGCAGCTGCCAGATGCAAACCAGAGGAGGAAGAACTTTCCAAATGCCTTTGAAGGGCAGTGCCAGGATGGGAACATCTGGACTCGGCCGGAGGCTCAGGATACCCACAGCCTCACAGCTGTGATTGTCTGCAGTTGCACAAATGTGGCTAAAAAAATTCAGGGGCAATTTTTTCAGATGGCGGCAGCCGGCACAGGAGGTCTCCAAATTTCCTCCGGGACACTTGGAGAGGGCTGCCCGGGGGTGCCGAAGCGAGGATCGAGAAGCCAGCCTGAAACTCTGGTTCCAGGATTGGCTCAAGAATATAGTTTGAGCGGAAGAAGACGCTGCAGCAAAGCCGAAGCAGTTTCGGGCTGCAGTGGGAGGGGGTGCCAGGGGTGCCAGGGCCTCTC